CCCCCCCCCCGAGAAAATAAAGACCGGGGGTGGGTGGAAACTGGCCAACTTGGACGCTGACGCAGCTCACGCGGACCCGGGTAGACGAAGGAGACCCCCGGGAGGGAATTCGGGCCTCTGGGGCCCCGCCAGGCTTCCGCTGCCGCCGGCTTAAAATACCGAGCAGGTGGGATTCCGGGAGGCCGCCTCAATCTTACGTAACCGGTATGTCAAACTCCGAGCTCCGGGACCTCCCCTCTCACCGCCCCCGTCCCCACCCCNAATAGAAAATCCCAATGAAAACACTGAAACCCCCCACGCGTCCGACGCAGAGGCGCGACTGCTCTTCTCAGCACCGCCGCGCCATTCGGGGAGGACCGAGCCCGCGGAGGACAGCCTGGCTTTGAGAAGCTCACGGGCGGAGGTCGCGGCCATCCGCGCCACCTCTCCGAGTCTGGCTGGCCCGGCTCCCGCACCCACGGCTGTCACGGCTCCGGGCAGTGACAGCTCCACATGCCACCGCTGTCCGCGTTCCCGCCCCCGCACTCACCTCACCGCTGCTGGCTCCAGAGCGAGCAGCCGGTCGAACTGGGAGAGCGGTCCCCTCACGAGCGGCGGCGGGACACGAGGGGCTGAATGCCGCGGCGCGGAGCCTGCTTAGCTCATCCCCAGCCCAGCGCTCCGCCCTGCGCGGCACCCCCGCCCGCCCAGGCCTGCTGTTTCAGTCAGACGGGACTCCCCCTCCCCTTGCAACCGCGGCTGCCTCCGCCTCCTTCTCCGACTCCAGCCTCCTCTACCGCTGCGGCTGCAAGCAGCGCCATCTTGGCAGTGACGGAAGGGGCGGGGGCGGGGATCGCGGCCAGCAAGGGCCAATCGCGGGCCAGGTCCGGCCATAGAGGGCGGAGTCGTAGCTCAGACTGATTGCGTGAGAAAGTGGGCGGGGCTCCGCTGGTGACGCGCGATGTAGTTAAGGAGAAATGCGCTTGTGGCTCCCTCTTTGGTCGGGAGATCCCCAGCCCGAGGCGGGAGTGGGCGAGACATACCTTCCCTTCCCCTTTCACCAGCGGGAGGGTCAGGGACTGTCTTGGGCCAACTGATCTGTTTCCTCCCTTCAGCGCAGCAGCCCCGGGAGTCCTGACAGCGCTTAGCCAGAACTCCGCGCGTCTGTCAGGGCGGCCGCCCCTCCACCAGGGGTGCTCAGATTCCCCAGGAAACCCCCTAAGGGGCTAGCAACCACCTAGTAGATTTCGGTCCCAAGGTACTGAAGGTCAGGTAAAATGGGGGATTCAGTGGGGTTCTCTGAAAAATATGTAGATAAAACACCTATTGTTGACTGAAGGGGTGTAGATTACATTGAATTAATGGGATATGGCCTATTTAAACCTCCTATGGCTCCACGGTAAGTGGCTTTTGGCAATTTGCCTCTGGAAAATGAGCATAATAAAGGTTGATTACTGCTACGGGTTGCTCGGAGGGTTACATTCTATAACACATGTGAAATGCTTGGCGTCGTGCCTAAAAGCACTCAATAAATGTTAGATATTATTCCATGGACAAGTGAAGGAAGAAATAGGACCCTAAAAATTCCTCTGGTTTCAAGTCAGTTTTCCTAAATTGCACAGAATAGGCATTGATCCCTTTTACTAACCAAGTTTATAGCTCTATTTCTTATCTCCATAACTTGCACTGTAGTATTCATTCAGCCAGTCAACAAACATTCATTGAGACAAACACTTGAGGGGACCCAGTGGTGAGAGAAACAGAAAAGGTCTGCCTTCGTGGAGCTGACAGTCTAGTGGGAAAAAGAGGGACAACAAATACTTCAGCATATTTTGGGTGGAAACATGCTACGAAGGTTATGAACAGAATTCTGGCAATCAAATAACAGGATAGCTTAAAAAACACCACCACCAAAAACAGGGATGAGGAAAGGATCATCTGAGGGATGAGAAAGATTCCAGTTATGTGAGACGTGAAGAGGTAATATTTAAGGCTGTGGGAATGGCTGTGCAAAGAACCTGTGGCAGGAAGGAGCTTGGCTGTTGGAACTGAGTGGAGCCCATTGGTGCTGGGGAACACACAGTGCAGAGAGGAACATGGCATCACACTGGAGAGGTGAGTGTGGGCCCATTCCCCTAGGTCCTAGGAAGACATAGAAGAAACAAGATTGGATTTTATTGTAATTGCAGCTGGAAGCTATTGAAAGGGTAGGGAATGACTCTGTTAGAGCAAGGGAGTTGGGAACAGTGATGTTCGCATCTGACAAAGCAAACAACAGAAACCTGGGGTTGGGCCTATTCAGTACTAAGTTGGTCAAATTATATGCTTTGATCTTCAGTTACCTTATTGTTAAAAAAAAAAAGTGTGAATATCACATAAGACTGTGTACAGAAAGTACTATCACTGAAAGTTGTTAAATAGTGTAAGTTGTTTCTAAATGTTTTATATGTTATGTTAATGTGTATAGTTGCCTAATCAATGCTATTTGATAAGTACATTTTTTATTGATTACAAGTAGTAATCGAAACCAACCATTCTTATTACTTTTTGCACATTGTGCTGGTAGGGTAAAGAATATGAACTGCTATAAATGTGTAGTTTCTTGATGCTGTAGTTCCAAATGTACTTTTAAGTGCTTAGCTCTGCATTTTCTAATAAAATTTGCTATCAAGTCATGAATTTAAAAAAATATTATTGTGGTAAAATATACATAACATAAAATATACCATTTTAACTATTCTTAGTGTACAGTTAAGTGACATTATGTACGTTCACATAGTTGCGAAACCACTAAAACTTCTAGAACTTTTTTCATTATCCCAAACTGAAACTCTATTCAGTAAACAGGAACTCCTACTTTCTAAGCCATGTATATTTTAAAGGTATCTGGTGAGGCCCCCTCCCACCTCAAGATGGCAAACGGTGATTAATACAATTATTTGCTCCCACTGAAAGGTTCAATGGACCATTCCATATAAGTTTGAAACCACCACCAAGAAATAAGGATTAGTATAGGTTGTTAGCTTGGATGACTAATACATCATACTAATGAGGAATACTAATATAGGATCAATTAATTTTTAGCTCTTAAAAACTATGTTCCATGACAATAAAATGTGCTCTATGGTCTTGTAAATGTTCCAAAATGGCCCAGACAACCTGTTCCTCCATTTATGTACAACTACTCTAAATGCATATCTTTTTAATACTATTAATTTTCATTTTAAAAAAGTTATTTAATCTCTGGCTAAATTTAATTTTAAAAGTCACTCTTTTGTGAACAATAAAATAGAAAAAAAGAAACAAGAAAAAAGAAAGCATGTTTTTTTGCCACATTTCAAATAACCAAGCATTCTATATAGTTATGAAGTTCGAAAGATCAGAATTTTGACCTGAAAATACTGAGCTGATAACTTTTTTTAATTTATTTTTTGTTGCTGACACTCTTACAGATGTCCCCCTTTGCCTTTCTTTTATTAAAAATACATCCTAAATGCCGCATTATAACTCCATTAAACAAACTTAAATTTCTTTTTGTTGTTAAAATTTCCACGGATATTTTCTTTTTTCAAAATTTTTACTTATTGGTTGAGTTTTAGAGAGAGAGGGGAAGTGGGGTGGAAGAGAGAGAGATGAGAGATTTGTTGCTCTGCTTATTTATGCGTTCATTGGTTGATTCTTACATGTGCCCTAACCGGGGATCAAACTCACAACCTTGGCATATTGGACCGATGCTCCAACCAACTGAGCATCCAGCCAGGGCTCAAACTAAATTTCTTTTCCAGGCTGGACCCTTCCTGCCTCTTCCCCATGTCATCCACAGTGTTTTTAAACCCAACATGAGGGCACGGCTAGATTACAAGAGAGAGGTCGTAGCATAAAAGGGTACAAAGGAACTTTTGGGGATGATGGATATGTCCACTATCTAGATTGTAGTAATGGTTTCATATGTCAGACTTTTCAAGCTGCATACAAACATGTGTAGTCCTCTGTGTGTCAATTATATCTCTATAAAGCTGTAAAAAATTTAAAAGTCCAATTGGGAACCTCCCATCTTCTCCCCATTGGATGAAGATTTAGTCTTTCGTTGGTCTTAATTGTTGAGATACCTACAAGATCAATTCCTCTTTGAGGAGTAGCTTGTTGTATCAAAACATTTGACTAGCGACAAGAAGCATTCTTTTTTAATTGGCAAAAAGGTTCATATATTTTCATCTACATTACTACATACCAATTAAAATATTATAAACATAGTTGCAAGCATAGTTTACAGAATGGTACTCTAAACAGTTTCAAAAGTTGAAAATCTTTCCAGTGTTTGTTTTTGTTAATCCTCACCGGAGGATATTTTTTTCCACTGATTTTTTAGAGAGAGAGTGGAAGGAAGGGAGGGAGGGAGGGGGGGAGAAAGAGAGAAACTTGGATGGGAGAGAGACACATGGATTGGCTGTGTCCCACATGGGCCTGGAACAGGCCTGATCAAACCTGCAACCCAGATATTCTCTTTGACCGGAATTGAACTCCAACCCTTCAGTTCGAGGGCCAGTGCTTTAACCGATGAACCACACTGGCCAGGGCATCAAGTTTTTTTTTCTTTAATCAAAGAAAACACTTTCTGAATGAACATATTAAAAAGCAGTAGAAAACGTTAAGCAGTACTTGACATACAGCTCAGGAAGTGCCTCTAAGTATCTCAGAGCCCTAAACAGGCATTTCATGAATCCTCTCAACATCCCATGCATATGTCACTATAGTCACAATTAAACAAACTTGAAACCTAAGTGAGATTTGGGCAGTGGAGTCTAACAATGCAGATGTGGGCCAGATAGAAAAATATGCCTTAGAAATTTGGGCCCCCTGCCATTTCTGAAATCATGTCGTTTTTTACACCTAGAACTCTATATGGCTACTTCCTAGAAGTTATTTTTAACTACTGCAGTTTGAACAATGCACAAAGAAAAACCTATGAAACCAATAACAGTTTAAAGCAGTGGAAGCTCAAGCTTTTGTACAGCCTAATCCTTTCCACCTGTTAAATCTGTTCACCTTAATTGTTATGCCAGAAGTTTCCCACATCTTTAAAAAACCTGGAACCTTCTATAAAGCCATTCTTGATATCTGCGCCATGGGGCTTCCTTATGGGTGAGAAAGCCTTCCACCAGGCACTTATGGTCCATCAGAAACTCTTTGGATGAGTCCCAAACCAGAACACATTGCCAAATTCTATTCATTGTGAAACAATGTTAGAATGTCATTCCAGTGTATTTAATCCACAAACTGAAATTTATTAGCAATGCTGTCAAATTATCAATTTATTTCTTAACACAAATCTGGTGAAATACTTTTGAAAGACAGATTATCTGAACAATTTGCAAGAATAATAGTGAGAAACATCATGTTGCAAATGGTAAACTCTAAACCTGATACTTGAGAGGAGTGTCCAGGGACAGGCAAGCTGCAGTGATGTGAGCCACTGCTGTCTTTACCGCCTTGATGGCCAGTTGAGTCATATCTTTAAGCACTTTTTCACAAATTTGAAAATTATCACCTCTCAACATCCTCCTCAGGTGAATGCTTTTACCTCTCTCAACGATTCCTTCTAAATTCAATTTTTAATTTTTAAATGATCTGCAAAAGGAAATTATTTTTATATAGTGCATCTTTTAAACTGTCATTGTCCACAGTTAAGTATGCCCCCTGGTTTTCTTTAAATAATAGGCCAAATTT